ATATTATATATCATTTTATTTTAGTTGGTTTTGAAGTGATGGCCTAGGGTGGGTTGTTACAAAGGTCACTTTCTGAGGAGGAGTACCAGGTACTTCCATTCTGTTATCTTCTTTCCCGTTCTTCCTCTCTACCGGTCTCCCTCTTCTTTCTTCTTCATCTTTCCCCTTCTCGAGTCTTTTCTATTTTCGATGGCTGGTGATAGTGGTGCCGCACCTTCTGCACCGGCCAAGGGCAAGGGAAAGGCGCGTGGCAAAGCGGTGGCCGTCGAGGCGGACGTTTCTAAAAAGAAGAGGGGTGGGAATAACCCTAGGGATTCCCACCTCGTCATTACTGGCTATGAATGGGTCAGAGGGGACATCGGAGAGTTCCAGAGCGTCCTCAAATCATTTCTTGAGATCAATGCGATGTGGTAATCGCTCAGGATCTGCCAATGATCCATTTCCAAGCTCATCCGGCTCGAGCCTTGTCAGCCCGGCGAGCGTGTGTATATGGGGGGTACCCCTAATACCCCCTTTTTCTATATGTACCAATGTTTTTTAAGGGATTTGGGTGTATGCCTACCCTTCACTCAATTCGAGTGTGATTTTCTAAATTTTATCAACGCGGCTCCTTGCTAGCTGCACCCCAATAGTTGGGGTTTTTTGAGGGCTTTCCAAGTCCTGTGCTTGGCATTGGGGATGAATGCCTCTTTACCTGTCTTCCTTCATTTCTACTAGCTTAAGTTGGGTGAGCCTCCTCTAGGTTGGGTGTCTCTGAATGGGAGTAAGGCTGGAGGGTTATTCTCGCTTTACTCCCAATCGTACAAGAGCTTCAAAAAGGAGTTCTTCCGGGTTTTGCCTAAGGAGACCAACCCTTTAGTCGATGAGGTCTTTCATTTCGGCGGGTTGCCGAGGTTCCTTTTCTTCTGGCAATAGAACCCGATCAAGTTCAATGGGTCAAGTGGTCTTCAGTTGTTGGCTTCGGATATTGCTGCCATTGTCGACCTAACTGCGCTCCCCCGTCCCTTGGATTGCAAGCTTGTCTTTTCGCTTGCTAACTTGGCGGACAAGGAGAGGGGCTTAGAGAGTGAGTATGTCGTCCTCTTAGTCGTTTGGTTCTTTTTTTTTTCTTCTGCTTATGTGTTTGCATATATAATGGGGAGGAGCAAGTGGCGTGAGATGAAAGCCCGCTACAATGTGGTCGAGATCGAGGTTCCCGATCTCGGCGAGGAGGAGGTTGCTCCCCTTGAGACCCGCAGGAAAAGAAAGAGGGAAGAGGAGAAGGCTGGGGAGACCTTGGCCCCTCATGATGCTAAGGAGGTGACCTCGAAGGCCGCCGACGCCGACCCGGTCGACCTAACAGGGAGTCCTCCGCCTGGGGGATCGTCCATAGCCTTCGTGGAGGAGGTTGCTCGTGAGGCACAGGTTGGTATCTTTCTTATTTCTTATTTCTCTTCCGCGTTGCACGCTTTTCTTGTCTTGTAACTTAGGAAATTTGTTGTGTTTTATGTAGGTGGAGCCAGCTCCAACCTCTGCTAAGGTTCGAGTGGAGCCGAGCTCAGAGGTGCTCGGGCCAAATGCCTCAGCTGTTGCACAGGCGACGCCTGCTTCAACTCTCGCGGAGAGGGGCCAAACTCTAGGGCACCGACGTCGACCCCTGCAGCCGCTGTACCGCCTCCACCTCTGCCAGGGTCTCTGAAGGGGAAGTGTATCATACAACGCTTCGATGTCACTCGCCCCCTGGCGAGGTTGGACCATGTGAGCATGTCATCAGACGTGGACTCGATGTGGAGTTCGGGGGTGACTGCCTAGGCCTTCTACCCGCGAGGTTCACTCGCTCGGCTGACAAGGCGATTATCGAGAAGGTCTGGCCAGTGGAGGGCCTAGACTCTGCGGAGGTCTTCATGCAGAGATTGATCACCATCATGGACCATTGGAAGCCCAAGTGGTCGAAGCTGCAAGGGGAGCTCGAGGTGCTAGAAGCCGAGTTCAGCCGCTGGAGGAGGAGAACCGGGCTTTGGGGACCGCTCTAAGCAGGCAGTAAATAAGAACGAGGCCGAGCTGCAAGCCACGATGAGGGATCTCGCAAGGACTCAGAAGTCTTTGGAGATTGCTTTGAGGGCTAACGAGGTCTACGCTGCCCAGGTTGGCGAGCTTCAGGAACTCTCCAATTCCTCTCGGGGTCGAGTGCGCTCCCTTGAAGATGAGGTCTCGGCATTGAAGGCCGAACTGGCGTAAGTAGCCGAGAGGTGTCTCTTTGACGAGGTGCTTCGTGGTGGCAAGGAAGAGGAGGTCGTAGCTCTGAGGGCGGACCTTGATAAGATGGTCGCGACTAAGGCGGGACTAGAGAGGAAGCTTGTCGAGACTGAGCGAGCTGTTTTGGTGGAGCACAAGAAGGGCTTTGTCAAGGCAGCTCGTCATGCGAGGTTGCTTGCTCCCGGGGTCGACCTTTTTGCTATGCATCCAGAGAAAGAGGTGCGAGCTGGGCGGCTGGTGAAGGAAGACGACCTCCCTGACAGCTCGAGCGAGAATACCACTGCCTAGGCCGCTATTTTTTGTAATAACTTAGTTCATTTAGTTCAATTTTCTTGCTTTCTGAACTCATGCTTTGTATTTGATGAACTTTATTGTGTATATAATTTTTTTTGCACCGCTGTTGGGTTCTTTGAATTTTTTCTATATTACTTGCTTGATTTGTATTCGTTCTGCGGTTCAGTCTTGACCTCGGCTAATTATAGTACAACTCGTATCAAGGTTTGAACTCGACCTTGGCTTTACATGGTGTAATTCGTACTTAAGGTTCGAAATCGACCCTGGCTTAAGATAAAACACTTCGCACCAAGGTTCGAATTCGACCTTGGCTTAGATAAAATACTGCGCACCAAGGTTCGAATTCGACCTTGGCTTAGATAAAACATTTCGCACCAAGGTTCGAATTCGACCTTGGCTTAGGTAAACCATTTCGCACCAAGGTTCGAATTCGACCTTGGCTTAGATAGAACTTTTCTCACCAAGGTTCGAATTCGACCTTGCACCAAGGTCAATTTTGACCTTGGCTTAGATAAAATACTGCGCACCAAGGTTCAAATTCAACCTTGGCTTAGATAAAACATTTCGCACCAAGGTTCGAATTTGACCATGGCTTAGGTAAAACATTTCACACCAAGGTTCGAATTCGACCTTGGCTTAGATAGAAATTTTCGCACCAAGGTTTGAATTTGACCTTGGTTTAGATAAAACATTTCGCACCAAGGTTCGAATTCGACCTTGGTTTAGATAAAACATTTCGCACCAAGGTTCGAATTCGACCTTGGCTTAGATAGAACTTTTCGCACCAAGGTTCGAATTCGACCTTGGCTTAGATAAAACATTTCGCCCCAAGGTTCAAATTCGACCTTGGCTTGTCATGGTATGATTATTGCCAATACAATGTAAAATTAAGAGGATATGAGTGGAATCAGTCATTTTTATTGATTTTGTGGGTATGCCTCGTTAAAAACCCTCTCAGCCAAAACCCATTTTTCTGTTTTTTGGGACAAAAGACTGAGTCAGGAAAAGAGTGCATACCCCATTTGTACATTTCAAATGAAATAAAACTTGAGATGCGTGGCATTCCAAGTTCGCGGGATGGTTTTTCCATTGAGCTTTTCTAGTCGGTATGCCTCGTTTTCGAGGTCTTCTGTAACTCGAAATGGGCCATCCCAGTTAGGCACGAGTTTCCCTTCTGACGGGTCTCTTCGTGTTTCACCTTGTAGTCGCCACACCAAGTCGCCTATCTGGAAGGAGCGAGGTTAGATCCGTGTGTTGTACCTCTTGGAGGCTCAAAGTTTGCAAGCTTCCTCGTGAATCTGAGCCTCCTCTCTGAGCTCGTCAATCAGGTCGAGGTTGACTGCTGTCTCTTGAGTATTTTGCTCACTGTTGAAGACATGACGTCGATGAGACATCTCGCCGACCTCCACCGGGATTATGGCATCAGCTCCATAGGTCAACCTGTAAGGGATTTCCTGCATTGTCGATTAGGGAGTGCAGTGATACACCCATAGAATGCTGGGGAGCTCGTTTACCCATTATCCTTTGGCGCTTCCTAGCCGCTTCTTGAGCTCTCAGAGTATTACTTTGTTTACAGCTTCAGCTTGGCTATTGGTTTAGGGATGCTCCACCGAGGTCAGGAGGTGCTTGATTCCGAGTTCTCAGAGGAAGTCTTCAAAGTTTCGTGCGATGAACTGCCTGCCATTATCGGTAACGAGGGAATGTGGGATGCCAAACCTGCAAATGATGCTTTTCCAAGTGAATTTCTGCACATTCTCAACGGTGATCTTCGCAAGTGGGCATGCCTCGATCCACTTGGTGAAGTAGTCGATCGCCACTAGGAGGAATTTGAGTTGACCTTTCGCAAGGGGAAATGGTCCGAGGATCTCCATTCCTCACTAGGCAAACAGCCACGATGACATCATATGGTGGAGGACTTCGAGCGGTTACCGATGTGTGTTGCCAAACTACTGACATTCCTTGCACCTTTGTACATAGGCTTGGAAATCTGACTTTAATGTGGGCCAGTAGTACCCAGCTCGGAGTACCTTGGGCGTCATCGATCGTGCCCCGGAATGCAAACCACATATCCCTCGGTGGATCTCCACGATGACATAGGTGGCTTGGGACCTTGCTAAGCATTTTAACAGAGGAGTGGAGATGCCGCGTTTGAACAGTTCGTCTCCAATGATGATGAATTTGGCTGACCTTACCCTCATTTTGCGAGCTTTATCCTTATCTTCGGGTAGAGTTCCCTCCTTTAAGTAGTTCCAAATGCCCGTCATCCATCCTTGGTCTCCACCATCACTAGTGTTGACGACTTTCTCGTTTAGACTGGGTGAATTCAGGGTCTCCTGGATGATGGTCCGATGTTGTCTAGGGCGCTTCGTACTGGCAAGCTTGGATAGGAGGTCAGCCCTGGCGTTCTGCTCTCAGGGCACATGGTGTATGGTGAATTCATCGAAAGAGGAGATTTGTTAGGATGCTACATGAAAGTACCTCTGTAGTAGGGTATCCATGGTCTGGTATGCCCCACTGAGCTGCTCTACCATGAGTTTTGAGTCGCTGTTGCAACTCACCCACTGTGCTCCGAGGTCGCGTGCCAACCTCAATCCTGCTAGTAACGCTTCGTACTTTGCTTGGTTGTTGGTCACTTTGAAGCCAAATTTGAGAGATTGCTCTACGGTGATTTTATTTGGTCCCTCCAAAATGATACCTGCACCACCACCTTTAGAATTGGAGGATCCATCGACGTGTAAAGTCCATACCTGTTGTTCTACAGCCGAGGTTGGGGTGAGTTCAGCCACAAAATTTGCTAGGCACTGAGCTTTCAAGGGGCCTCGACTTTCATATTGGATGCCGAACTCAGATAACTCCACTAACCATGCTATCATACGCCCGGCGAGCTCCAGCTTTCTCAAGATCTGCTTAATTGGGTAGTCAGTTTTGACGACCACCTGGTGAATTTGAAATAAGGTCGGAGGCATCGAGCTGCAGTGATGAGTGCTAGTGCCAGCTTCTCGATCATCTGATATCGTTTTTACGTGTCTTGAAGGACTCAGCTGATGAAGTACAAGGGCGTTTGTACCTTTTGGTGTTCTTGCACTATGATCACACTGATTGCACCCTCTGCCACGACCAAGTAAAGAAGTTGGTCGGCGTGATGATTTGGCCTCTGAAGGATTGGTGGAGTTGTGAGGAAAACTTTGAAGCTTTTGAAAGCTTCTTCGCACGGCTCGGTCCACTCAAAGTTCTTGGGTTTCTGCAGCAAGGTGAAGATGGACCTTGCTCTCTCTGCCAACCTGGGGATGAAACGGGAGAGAGAGACTAACCGTCCTGCCAAGCGTTGGATGTCCTTGACAGTCTGGGGACTCTGTAGTAGGATAATAGCTTTGCACTTCTCTGGGTTGGCTTCAATGCCCCTGCTGGTGATCATAAAACCCAGAAATCGACCTCCCTGAACACTGAAAACACACTTCTCTGGGTTGAGGCGCATGTTGTGCTTTCTGATCTGGCTGAACACCTCGGCCAAGTCGGCGACATGATCCTCGGCTGAGGTGGTCTTGACAACCATGTCATCGACGTAGACTTCCATGTTTCGACCAATCTGTTGGTAAAAAACTTTGTCCATCAGCCTTTGATAAGTAGCTCTCGCGTTGTTGAGGCTGAAAGACATCACGCGATAGTAGAAATTTACGTGGTCGGTGATGAAGGCTGTGTGCTCCTCGTCTGGTGGGTACATTATGATCTGATTATACCCTGAGTATGCATCGAGGAAGCTGAGGAGAGCATGGTCGGAGGCACCATCAACCAACCTTTCGATGCTCGGCTGGGGATTTGAGTCTTTGGGACACGCCTTGTTGAGGCCGGTGTAGTCGACACACATGCACCACTTTCCCGAGCTCTTCTTGACCAATACCACGTTTTCCAGCCACGTGGTGTATCTGACTTTGCGGATGAAGACCACGTTCATCAACTTCCGTGTCTCGGTGACGATGGCATCGCGTCATTCTCCTCTGACCTTCTTTTTTCTTTGAGCGATCGACTTAGCTTCCTTGTGGATGGCTAACCTATGACAGATGAGGTTAGGGTCAATCCCTGGCATGTCTGCGCTTGACCACACGAAGTGGTCAGCATTTTTGGAGATTTCCTCAATAAGCCGTTGTCGCAGCTCTGGGTTTAACTGCCTACTTATCTTCGTGTACTGTCCGGGGAGTTTACCGACCTAAAGGTCATTGAGCTCGTCGATGGGACTTGGTCGTTCGTCATGGGATTCCGACCTTGGGTCCAGGTCAGCGATGCCAACCTAGGCGATGTGAGCTACCGTAGGGGGATCATCGTTGTGGCGTTCCTCGGATGGCGAGACCTTCAGGCTTTCAGCGTAGCATTATCGAGATGTCTTCTGATTTGCTTTGACCGAGATGATCTTGCCATTGCTCCCTGGGAACTTCATCGTCAGGTGTGGAGTGGATACCACGGCTCCGAGCTGGTTTAGTGTAGGTCTGTCGATGATGATGTTGTAGGATGTGTTGGCCTCCACGAGGAGGAATCTGACCATGATCCTCCTTGAGTCGGGAGGGGTCCCGAAGGTTGTCAGTAGATCCACGTACCCTTGAGTGTGAACTTGTTCGCTTGCAAAACCGACTAAGGGTTCTGTGTGAGGTTGGATAAGGGAGTGGGGGATGTCTAATCTTAGGAACATCAACCAATATAGGACGTCAGCCAAGCTTCCTTGGTTGATCAACGTCTTGTGGACTTCCCAGTTGGCGACTTCTACGGCGATAACCATGGGATCATCCTGGTTTGGACAAATGCTAGTGTAGTCATCATCGGTCAAGGTGATTGGTGGTGTGTTGTGGTGCGGGGCCGAGGTGGCAGAATGGACATTGTTGTTGCTGCGCAAATGTCATTTGCGCGCCGAGCTACTGGAGCCTCCCCTTGCGAAGCCACCTGCAATTGTATTGATAACTCCTCGCAAGGGAGCTGACCCTGTATCCTGACTTTCCTTGGCCTGCACTACACCGCCAGTGTTTTGCTGAGAACTAGAGGGTTGGTCTGTGCGAGTCCCGGAACCTCGGCCTCATCCTCGTCCTCGTCCGTGGTAGCCTCCTCTTTGACCTTACTGCCGTTGGACGTATTGTCCGAGGTGCCCCCTGGATGAGTTCCTCTATGCGATCTCTGAGTGTCTGACACTCCTCGATTGTGTGACCATAGTTTCTATGGTACCGACAATGCTTGGATTTGTCCGCACTGTTAGGACTGTTTCGAGGTGGTGGCAAAGTGAGCAGATTGTTGTTGCTGGCCTTTTCCAGGATGTGTACTCGGGGCGCATTCATGGGGGTGTAGAAGTCATACCTCTCCCCTTTGTTTGCCATAACAGCCTTCTTGAATTGGCTGTCATTGGTGATCTTCATCTTGTCTTTGTAGCCGTGGTCCAGCTTTGCCTGTGATTTTCCACGAACCTGGTCATGAAAAGTAGAGTGCTCTTTCATCTGAATGTATCCTGCAGCTCAGGCACGGAGTTCGTCCATGTCAAGGGGAGATCGTCGACACAGGCTGTCGACGAAAGGTCCTAGCTTGAGCGCCATGAGCATGGCGTGTAGGCTGACCTCGGGGTTCAAGTTTCAGATCTTAATCGAGATGCTGGCGAAGCGCTCCATGAACGCCCTCAGTGGTTCGTCGTCGCCCTGTCTGACACTGGCCAAGGTGGCTGATGTGACGTGGTGAGGTCGACTCATTGCATACTGTGCCGTGAATCGTCTTACCAAAGTGTCGAAGTTATTGATCAACCCCACCAGCAATTGAGTATACCAGGCGAGTGCTGCTCCCTTGAGCGAGGTCGAAAAAACACTACACAGAATAGCATCCTCATTAGTGTATAGGTTTACCTGTGTAATATACAGATCGACATGCTCATCTGGGTCAGTAGTGCCATCATAACAGTCGATGTTGAGAGGCTTCCATCCAAAAGGGAGGGGTGTCTCCATGATGCCATCAACAAAAGGATGGCGGCGGATGCTCGCCCTATTTCCTGGTACTTGGGCGGGAGCATTGCTGACTTCGTGGTCTGACCTGTTCGTTGGTACGTGTGACCGATGCACATTAGACCTATGGGTCGCCGCCCTGGGTGCAGTTGGTGGCTGGGAAATCCAGTGCCCCTCTCCCTCGTGTGGATTACTCGGTTGGGGGGGGGGTTGATTAAAAGGGCACCGAGGAAGCTGGCACGAATGGGCTCATTCTCAGCATGCAGCGCCGCTAGGTCAGTTTTGTGCCAAGCACGAATGTTGTCCAGGTCGACGGCGTGTTGTTGCCGCATTTGATTGACCTGTTCGATCAGTTTCCTCAACGCTGCTTCACTGTCCATTCTTGTTGTGCGATCTAAGTCGTCCGTTGCTTGTCTACTATGGCTTCGGGTGAAAACAATAAGCGTGGCCGATAAGAGATGTCTTGTTCGGCCTCACGGTGGGCGCCAAATGTTCTTACCGGAGATCGGTTGTAGGGGACAATCTGCTGGGAAAGATTGGTGAGCCTCCTTCACTGGGTTCGCTTGTTGTTTCAAGGCGGGGGTGGTACCTGCAAAAGAGACTCTGATGCTTAAGTTCGTGTTTGTGGGTGGGTGGGTCTCGTATAAGTAATGCACGTACCTTTGTGTGAATTAGGGTTTCATTGGGCCTTGGGCCTGAGATCAGTTATGACCTATTTAGATAGCGGGCCTTGTCTTGGCCGATGTCGCCTAGCGCGTGTCCGATGTCAATCTGCACTGTGATGCCAAGCTCGAGCTCGGCTTCGCGATACGGATAGTATAGTAATATATCTTTTAAAATAAATTTTTGTCTCCTCATATGTTCAACAAAATTAATAGGCAAGATCTGTTAACATAGTAAATTTAATATTTATTATAAATATAATATTGTGAAGAAAAAAAAAAAAGATCAGATAGATACACCAATTAACTACGCATGGCTTGGTAATGGGTAAGAATGACTGTAATTCTTCTCCCCTTGATTTTTGGTAGCAGAATAGAAGACTCTGTTCGATTGTCTAGAAACTTTAGTAGAATTTGATTTCTTCTTTCATGCGGTTGACATTTCAAAAAGAACTGTATCTTCACCTACCACATTGGCTTATTTTATAGATTGAGAAGTAACTACCTCTTCACGTGGACCTAGACTTGATAGTGTGGTGCATGACTTTTTTACAATTATTATTTGAAAAATAGAGTTTTGACAAAGCGGAAGCCATTATTTCTTAGAATAATAGATTTTGAGCCTAACTCAACCCTACAAAATTAGCTTATAAGGTGATGGTTGCTTTCTAGTTATATACTATTTAATTGCCTAAAACTATTGGACTTGGTACGTGGATAAATGATGGGTGTCCCTTTTTAATTAGGATATGTGTGTTGAGATGATGAAGATGATGGGACATCTTGAAGACTCCTCAAGATTGTTTTAGTTTTGATGATGTATTATGTAAATGTTGCTTAAACCTATACAAAAGGATATTGTATTGGTTGTAATAGATATTGGCTTGTGTGTGTGTTTGTTTATATTTGATGATGATGATGATGATGATGAATGCTTAATTCAAGAACTAATCAAGTTTTTTAAGAAATCAAGAATTTGATTTTTTAGTATTTTCACGTGTAAACAAAAAGTAATAGATTATCATGAAAAGATAATTTACTACCAAGTGTTTAAAAATAAAACTATGACTTTATTCAAACAAGAGGTTTCAAGGTAACATTGTTAATCAATTACCATTCAAGATAATAAATTACCAAGTCTGTTACTGGAAAAGGTTATTCAAATGTCCTCTTTGTTAATAAATTACCAAGTCTGTTACTGAAAAATGATTTTCAAGTTCTTCTTGAGGTAATAGATTACCAAAGTTGGTAATAGATTAAAACAAAGTCTCTAGCTTGAAATAAGGCTGAAGAATCAAAGTTTTCATTGGGATAATCGATTACCACCTGAGATAATCGCTTACCACAGAATGAAACTCAATTATGGGTCTTAGAAAGCTTAGGATAATCGATTACCATATCTCATAATCGATTACCCTGGTAGTTTTATGTTTCTGGTTCAATTTTAAAGAGTTGGTAACAGATTACCATATCTCATAACTGAATCACATCTTGCACTTTAAATAACTGTCTTTTATGAAATTAAAAAAGAACAATTAGAAATTTTTTTGAAAAAAGAACATTAGAAAAAAAGTATTACATTCAGAAACAAGAATCAAGGTTGATCAAAGAATTTTTCTGAAAAACCAAGAGGTGCAAAGATTAAACATGAGTTCCTGAAAAAAGAAATTCAAGAAGTATTTTCAATTGTGAAAGATCAATATCTACACGAAATTAGGTGATATCTTTATGATCTTTAAACCAGTATTTTCGTTTTGAATGGTATATCTCTTGAGATAGGGTGTCTCAATAAGAGATTTTGAAATCTTGAGTAAGATTTCTCAAGTAATTTCTATGGGGTACAAAAATTGTATGTGTTTTCAATCTTGTGATGTCAAGATTGATGTTTGTTTGAATTCTTGTAATATTGTGTGTGTAAGGTGTTTGTAAAAAATAATATAGTGAATGATCTTTGATTTAGTGGGGTGCTAAATCAGAGAAAAATGGAAGTAGGCCAAGTGGATGACTGAACCAATATAAATTTCTGTGTTCTTAATCTTCTCACCCTTATCTCTTTAAGAATCTTCTTAATTTCTTGATTAAAGAATTCAAAGATTTGTGAGATATGATAGTTCAATTGCTGTATATACTCTCAATATTATTCTTGTAATTGAAACTAATTAAGAAATTGGTAATATGAAATCAACCTTGATTACAAGTGATTGTTTCACTACAACAACTTTGATATTTTGATACTTTGGTAATAAACCTTATAATAATCTACTGTTATTTGTTAAATCAAATTGAATAAAGATTTTCAAAATTAGAGTCATCTTAGGATAAAATCT